TTAATTTTTTTTGTTAGTCTTGCTTTTATATTCTTATAAAAATTCTTTATTGTAAAAAAATACAATTATAACCTGTGTGAACTAAATAAACTATTTTATATAACATTTTAATTTGAATATTTTAATTATTTTCTTTCCTCAGTTACTATATCCTTTTTAAACACCTTATGTTTATGATGTAAAATTTTAAATTAAATATAAAATATTACTATATATATTTATTAAATATATTAAATATATGTATTATAATAATTTTAATGGACAAAGCCGTTAATTATATGAATTTATTTATTTTGAGTATAAACTACACGAAACTTTAAATATTATAATAATATTTATATTTTTTTTTCTATACTTTAATTTAATAATAAAAACAAATGTTTATTCTTATTGTTACCAATATCACAATTAATGTTTTTAATTACGAATTTCGATGTATTTCAAATAATCGATACTAAACTCAAGACTCGAGATATAATATAAAGAAAAAACAATAATTTATACTTTTCTCAAGTAATTTTTCAACGAAAATATGTGTTTTGTTTTTTTCAGAACAATTATTATCGAATAAATCATTTAAACATGGTATAATTAATTTTTAACGAATTAATATGTTATAATTTATGATATGTCCTTATACTTGTTTTAAATGATGTTTGTAAATAAATCGTTTCTCGAGATTTGATACTTAAGAGTCGAAAAATTTAGAAATTTTTTTTTTTAATTTCATATTACTTTCAATCTAATCTCAACAGAACGATCAATCTTTGTTCGATCTTGTCAGTTGGTGGGCTTATTTGACAGACAAGCATTACATTCAATGTGCTAATTATATTTTATTTATTTTCAATTAACAAAAAAGCATTTTAAATTACCTGTTTCATCTTAAGATATCTGATCATATATATAGAATTTTTTATTTATTGTTTGTTTTTTAAATTTTTGAGACCTTTTTAAATAATACGTTAACATAAAAAAATACGTAATAAAGCTTGAGAAAGTTATATTTAGTAAAACTACAATTAATGTGGTCACAAAAGGTAATTATAATTAATTTTATCATGCAAAGTGTTTTTAATTAAAATTATTAAAATAACTTTTACCATTTTAGGTTTATTTTATGATATATAGATCCATGGAAAGTTATTTAAATCAATAAATATATATATACATGTATGTATAGATATAGTTATGTATATATATTTTGAGTACATATATATGCATGTATATTGAATCAAATACATATATTCTATATATATATTTATTATATAATGTTTATTGTTCACTAAAAGCTTTAAAAAAGAGTGTGTGATAAACAAATACATATATATCAATCTTATAATTTTATATAACACAAGGGCAAGGTGATTTTTTAAAATTATCTACAATAATTTCTTTCTTTAATTTTCTTAATTTTTCATTGAATTTTTAATATATTAATTTATTTCTTTGTAAAAATACAGATGAGCGACGAAGATCTTGTTCAATGTCCTTATAATCCTAATCACCACGTACCTAGGTCTCAAATAGACGAGCATACAAATACATGTAAATTTTTGATGGATCCTAATCAAGAAACTCAAATTACATTTTTATCCCACGACGAAGTAATATATCAGATTTGTTTCTTAAAATTTCGTTCTCATTAAGTGATATATGACAAATATTAATTATTATTGATTTCAAACATTAGCCAAGACCCTCAACATCTTACCAGGAGTTACCTCAGGAGGAGAGTTCACTTCAGGAGGGGAGTTTACTTCAGGAGGGGAGTTCAAAACAGGAGGAGAGTCAAATAGCAGAACTTCCAAATTTACAGGGTCCATCTTTTCATGAATGGAGACCACCCAAAGATCCAACAAAATTACAGGAAAAATCATCTTCCGGATTAAAAAKGGTATGAAAATAGTTGTTAAAATGAAATAAAAAATATATTATATGAAATTTATTTAATTTCAGCCAAGACTTATTTTAAGGTCGTTAAGAAAGAGAGGTATCCTAGCTGAATCAGAAATAGAATCCTGTAAACCAAAATTAGAGCAAGACAAAAAGTCAAGTTCTAAGAAGCCAGAAATGCGAATAGAATCATATTATAAAATATTACATGAAAAAATAAAGGTAAATGTTGTAATTAGTAATYTAAATGATTAAAAATTTTCTTCATTTAATTTTTCTTTTTCCTAATAAAAATCATTTCTTTTGATATGATAGTTACTGGAGAAACTAAAAATAGACAGTGGTTCTGATGAAGATTCTTCTTCAAGCAGTGGGTCGACGTTATCACTTATAGACACTATGCCAGATAAAAAGAAAAAAATTCTATATGATATGGGTACAGAATTTCAAGAAGAACTGAGATCTACTTCACAACAAACAGGAAGTTCACAACAAACAGGTAGTTCACAACAAGAATCTAGTTCACCAAAGCCAAAAATGACAGGCGAAGAGATAGATAAACAAACAGATGTTGAAAGATGGGTGATTCAATCGTCACGTTTTATGTCAGAAGTTACTACTCCATTAGAAGTTAAATTGGAAGAGCCTCCTTCAACTGGAGATGTTCTACACGAACAATCGCAATCATTTAGTGTACGCACTGAAACAACACATGATTCGGATCGTTCAGAAAAGACAAAAATGACACAGGAAAAGATACCTGAAAAAATGGATACAGAAGAAAAAAATAAGGCTCAAGTGTCACCTACTTTATCAGAAAGGATTACTCAAATAGAAATTAAATTGGAAAAACTTTCTCTGGCTGCAGATGTTTCAAAAAAACAATTACAATCAGTTAGTTCTCCAACAAAAACAAAAGAAGATTCAGATCGTTCACAAAAGCCAAAAATGACAGACGAACAGATTCCTGAAAAAATGGATACAGAAGAAAAAAATAAGGCTCAAGTGTCACCTACTTTATCAGAAAGGATTACTCAAATAGAAATTAAATTGGAAAAACTATCTCTTGCTGCAGATGTTCCAAAAAAACAATTACAATCAGTAAGTTTTCCTATTGAGACAAAACAAGATTCGGATCGTTCACAACAGCCAAAGACGACAAAGGAAAAGAAACCTGAAGAAATAGATACTGAAGCAAAAATTGAGACTGAAGAGTCACATACTTTATCAGAAGTGATTACTCAATTAGAAAGTGAATTGGTAGAACCTTCTCTGGCTGCAGATGCTCCACTACAACAATCACATCCATTTAGTTTCCCTGCTGCAACAACACATGATTCGGATGTTTCACAACAGCCAAAAATTATAAGTAAAACGAAACATGAAGAAATGGTTACTGAAGCAGAAATGGAGACTGAAGAGTCACATACTTTATCAGAAGTGACTACTCAACTAGAAGTTGAATCGGAAGAATCTTCCTTGTTTAAAGTGGTTCCACAACAACAATCACAATCTTTTAGTTTTCCTGCTGCAACAACACATGATTCGGATGACTCACAACAGTCAGAAATTATAAGTAAAAAGAAACATGAAGAAATGGATACTAAAGAAAAAATACAAACTGAAGAGTCGCATACTTTATCAGAAGTGACTATTCTAGTAGAAGGTGAATCGGAAGAACCTTCTTTGTTTGAAGTGGTTCCACAACAACAATCACAACCTTTTAGTTTCCCGGCTGCAACAACACATGATTCAGAGGATTCACAACAGCAAATTAGTTCTATGAAAGAGAAATATGCAGAAAATATTGAAGAAGAAATTGCGGATGCTGAAGTGTCACATATTTTGGCAACAGAGACGAATTTACAACTGATTAAAACGGAGGAACCTTCTTCGTCTAAAGCTGTTCCAGAAATAATAGTTACTTTTCATGGTGAAACAACAAATGATGAGTCACAGCAAGCAGATATTTCACAACAAGAAAGTAGTTCGCTACAAGAAAATAGTTCGCTACAAGAAGATAGTTTGCTACAAGGAGGTAGTTCGCTACAAGAAGATAGTTTGCTACAAGGAGGTAGTTTGCAACAAGAAGATAGTTCACAACCAGAAGAATTGTCAGATATGTTCAGTTATCTGCATTCAAAAGATACTGGATCTTCAGAACCTACCTCATCTTTACAAGAAGAACAATCCGAACCAGTTGTTTCTCATGATAAGGCAAAACATCAATTAGATGTACCACAAGAAGCAAGTAGACAGAGGAAAAGGTCATATAGTACTTCAAGTGAAGACACGGATATCGATATAGGTGATTTACAAAAAGCAGGTAGCTCACACAAATCAGCTATTTCACCAGAAGCAGATAGTTCTCAAAGGAAAAAAAAATTTCTAGAAATAAGAAGACGTTTTGAAGCTGCTTCAACAAAAGATAANTCCTACGACGAGGTAGTATGTTAGATTTGTTTTTTAATATTACGTTCTTATCAAATGATAAATGACAAATATTAATTGATATTGGTTTAATACTAGCAAAGACCCTCAACATCTTACCAGGAGTCACCTCAGGAGGCGAGTAGTCATCAGGGGGGAAGTCAAATGGCAACTCTTCCAATTTCTGAGGGTACATCTACTCAAGAATGGAGATCACCAGACAAACCACAAAAAAAGGTAACATCACCAAACAGATTACAAATGGTATGAAAATAATTGTTTGAATGAAATAAGACATATATTAATTGAAATTGATTTAATACCAGCTAAAACCATACCCAAAGCCGCTTAAAAGTAGAGAAATCTCAACTAAATCAGGAGACTCAAGTAAATCAGATTTGTTTTCGGACAAACAGTCAAAAAAGGGTCTGCTAGAAATGCGTAAAGAAACATATCTTAAAGAATTAAGTAGAAAAAGAAAGGTAATTGTAAGAATTTTTACTTTGAATGATTTAAAATTTTTTTCTTTTTTTTCTTTTTTTTTTTTAATAAAAATCATTTTATTTGATATGATAGGATCTCAAGAAACTAAAAATAGACAGTAGTTCTGATGACAATTCTTCATCAAGCACTGATTCGGCATTATCACTTGAAGATACTATGTCAGAAAATAAGGAAATTATTCTATATGAAATGGGTTTAGAATTTAAGTCACAAATTCCTTCTACTTCACAACAAACAGATAGTTCACAACAAGCAGCTAGTTCACAACAAGCAGTTATTTTACAACCGCCAAAACTGACATTGGAAAAGAAAGATGAAAAAATGGATGATGAAAGTTCGGTGGATCCATCGTCACGTTTTTCGCCAGAACCGTCTGATCCATTAGAATTTGAAATGGAAGAACCTTCTTTACCTGGAGATGTTCCACAAGAACAATCAGAATCAGTTAGTTCTTATGCTGAAACATCAGATGATTCGATCGATTTACAACGGCTAAGTAGAAAAAGGAAAATGGAACATGAAAAAATGGATACAGAAGAAATAGTGGAGATTAAAGTGTCACATCTTTTGGCAGAAGAGACTACTCCATTAGAAGTTGAATTGGAAGAACTTTCTTCGTCTAAAGAGATTCCACTACAGGAATCACAACAATTTAGTTTTCATACGGCGTTATCATATCATTCAGATGTTTCAGATCAACTAAAAATGATTAGTAAAAAGAAACGTGAAGAAATGGATACAGAAGAAAACATAGTGGCTGAAGCGTCACATACTTTATCAGAGGTGACTACTCAATTAGAAGTCGAATTGGAAGAACCTTCTCTCGTTGCAGATGTTTTACAACAACAAATACTACCATTTAGTTTTCATGCTGCTTCAACATCAGATTCAGATTACATTGTCACAACAAACGATGAGTCTCAACAAGCGGATATTTCACAACAAGAAAGTAGCTCGCTACAAGAAGATAATTCGCTACATGAAGTTAGTTCGCTACAAGAAGATAGTTTGCCACCAAAAGGTAGCTTGCTACAAGAAGATAATTCGCTAC